TGTACTGCTTTTACGTTAATATATGTGAGGGTACTTCAGAAAGTTCATGGAAAAATAGAATTGAAAGATAATACAAATCTTTCCATGAACTTTTTGAAGGCCCTGTGAATGTGTGTGTGTACGTAATTTCTGTAACATTTAGTGATTTGGATGAAAGGGAGAGGCAGAAGTGAATACTCAGTCTTCCACGTATTGATAGAGTCAAATTTCTGAGAGATTGTATGTGGTGGAGAGTATGGAGTCTGGAGTGAGATTGCCCAAGTCTGAATTCCATCTCAGCTTAGTAGCCACCTCACCTCAGACAAGTTACTTAACTTTTCTGTGCCTGACTTTCCTCATCTGTAAAATGAAGTAAAGGCAGTTTTCCCTTCTTCCTTCCTCATGCTTCATGATTCTTTTTTCCTTTTTAAAAACCATTTTCTTTCTGTTTGAAGAACTTCCTTTAGCCTATCTTTAAGCCTACTTCTGAGGATGATTTTCCCTTCATTCTTGAAGTATAGTTTCATGGTATATAGAATTCATGGATGACAGTGGTTTTTTCCCCAGCACTTTAGAAATAATGTGCCATTGCCTGCCTTCTGGCCTCCATGGTTTCTTGCTGTCATTAGAACTGGTGTTCCTCTGGGCCAACCCTGTGGCTCACTCGGGAGAGTGTGGCGCTGGGAGTGCCAAGGCTGCGGGTTCGGATCCTATATAGGGATGGCCGGTGCGCTCACTGGCTGAGCGCGGTGCGGGCGACACCAAGCCGAGGGTTACGATCCCCTTGCCAGTCACAAAAGAAAAAAAAAAAGAACTGGTGTTCCTCTACAGAAAAAGCATTGCTTCTCTCTGGCTACTTCCAAGATTTTTTGTCTTTTTCACGAGTTTACTTATGATATATTTTGGTGTCGATTTCTTTGGGGGTTCACTCCACTTCTTGGATCTGTAGATTTGTGTTTTTGGTCAAGTTGAAGAAATGCCATTATTTTGTCAAATAGTCTTTAAGCCTCCCCTTCTAGGACCCTGATGATATATGAATGTCAGATTTTTTTCTTCCTGTCCCACAGGTTCCTGAGGCTGGTTAAAATTTGATGAATTCTATTGTTCTGTACTTAAATTCACTGATTCTGTCCTCAGCCAACTTCATTCTACTATTGAGCCCATCCAGTGAGTTGTTATTATATTTTTCAGTTCTAGAATTTTCATTTTTAAAAATAATTTTTCCTTGCTGAGATTTTCTTTTTATTTTAAAGAGAATTTGCAGTTGATTGTTGAAGTATTCTTGTGATAGCTGTTTTAAAATTTTGTATAATCCCAACATCTGATTCATCTTGATGGTGACAATTGTCTTTTCTCATTCTAGTTGTCATTTTCTTGGTCTAAGTATAACAGGTGATTTTCAATTGTATCTTGGATATTTTATGTATTATGTTAAGAGAAGATGGTTTCCCTTTAATTTTTCCTTTTTTTGGCTGCTGGCTCATGCAGGGTTCTGAACCATTGACCTTGGTGTTATCAGTACCACACTCTCCCAAGCAAGCTAACCAGCCAGCAGACATTTAGCAGAAAGTCATGCTGTTTAGGTTAACATGAAGGTCTTGGCCTACTTTTGTGGGCTGTGGTTCTAATGATAGCTCAATTTTCATAACCTTTGTGCCTGGATTATGGGATGCTGCTGAGATTCCTACTGATCTTGGCTGTTCCTACCTGAGGAAGACAGGGTCTTTCCCAGGCCAGCTGCCAGGTGTCTCTTGGTGGGGGAGTGGGTGTAGTGGGAATCCCTGATTTGTACTCCCCCCACCCATTATGTGATCTTTGGGCAGAGGACGAGAGTCTCAGGCCCTGGGGATAAAGAAGCTTCCCAGACAGGGCCACTTGCTTTAACTAGGTCCCTTTTTTAGGTGTTGTTTACTGTAGCCAGGTCCATCTTGCAAGTTCTGCTTGCCCTCTTCTACATCTCTCAGTGGAAGAGTCTCAGTCCCACTGGTGGGGAAGGAGAATGCTTCTCTTGGCTGCTTATTTTTAACAGGGTTCCCAAATGATACCCTTCATTGATTGTATTGATCCTCTTGCTAGTGATATGGGATTACCTGATGTTGTCAGAGAGACACCTCCTTGATCCAGGGGAGGACTAAGATTATCTGGGTTGCTGTCTTGCTAGGTGGGGATTGGGAAGTACAGGCCCTGTGTGGCCTCCTTCTGTTGTGTGGGGAACAAGTGGAGCCCTGCCACTGTGCTGTTCCTTCAGCCCTGAGGTCCCCAACCAGATCACCGCCTTCTTACCACCTTTCAGAGTATCTTGCACTACTTCCAGGGTTTATAGTATGCTTAGGAGGAGCAAGGAAAAGCAGGTCTATGCTATCCTGTCCTGACCAGAAGTTAAAATATATTTTTAATGTCTTTTTTAAAGTGTAAAATTACCTACAAGGTAATAAGGAATTAACAGGGTGAGATTCACAGAAGATTGAAACACTGGAAGTGAGTCCAGAATTCAGGACTATTTTTGTCCTGGGGCACAGGCCAATCTGGAAAAAAGCTATGTGCCTTGCACAGCTGAAGGTCAAGAGTTGGAGTACAGAACCTGCCAAGAGTGGGTTAACCACTTCCTGTTTGGGGTGGGATCCCTTAGATCCTTCCTAGATCTATGATTATCAACTTTGTCTTCTTCAGTTAGCTGAAAAAATATGAGAACTAGAAGAGCTAGTAACAGAGTGCTAGTTTTACCTTACAGGGATAGAAAGCATTTTGAAAAGTAATTTAAATTTAAATACCAGGTGGCAGAGGGAGAAGAAACTGAAACACACACAAATGAGAAAAATCCTATCAATAAAGGAATTGTATGAAATGACTGATGGTGGAGGATATGGAGCAAAACTGAAGGGGGGGCTCCATTCCTCTGACTTTTAAAAAATTCTTATTTACAATTAGTAAGATTAGCTAGTCTACATTTTATTTTCATGTGCTAATTTGTGTTCACTGCATACAAAGTTTGACCATGAAGACATGCAGGTATAATAGAACAACACAAAAGCTATCAAAGGATGAGTGACAAGATTTTCTCAGAAAAGTTTAAAATTTTATTTTCCTTCAGGTAAACTCTCCTGATGATATTTTACAGGAGTATATCCATAAATAAAATAAACCATCTAATAATCAAATCTTATCAGGATTTTAGTGCTTTCATTGATATTACAGAATTTACTTTCTTGTTACTGCTCATAGCCCCTTCTAAAATGAACTTAGTGCAACAATTAATTTAAATGTACAGACAGCATTTGAATAATAATGCTTTAAAATGGATTAATTTTGTCTTCCAGTCATTATACTAACATCTCAATAATACAAGTTAAGTTCATAGCTACAAAGAAGCCAACGTGAGTGCCCACATATTCTGGCATGTCTAATCCAGAGTCCAGACTCCTGAGGAGTTTGCTATGTACCATCTGACTTCTCACCTTTCTTATCTGTCGGTCACTTCCAGTCATTCCATTCTGTCCTAGTAAGGTTTTATAATGAAATGAGAATTAGGTGTTAACATTCTTCCTTGGTATTATCATTAAAAAAATAATAATCATTCACCTAATTTTAGGAAGCACTTAACTTCAGTTACATTTGTTCTTCACATCTGATTTGTCTTTTCTTTCTGGAATAGTTAGTTATACCATTTTATCTACTTATTAGCCAACTGGTGTATAAATATGCACAAAATAACATTATTATCTATGGGGTCATGTGTCTATAAACTGCTTTTATTTTCTTCAAGGAAAGCTTTCCAGGGATTATGCTTTCCTTTGTGAAGCCATATGTAATACATCTCTCCCAAACTTCTTGACTATAGAGATCTAAAGCACAGCTTTAGGTTATTGGAATGAGAGAGGCCGAGATGACTAGGCAAGTGAAAAATACCACCGAGGAGGTAGAAGCCTATTTGTGAATTTGGATTCATCCTGATTGCACTGAACACCTGGTAGGTGGACATTCAAATATTTCTTGAAACAGGGCTATATAATGTCAGCTCCTCTGTGATTCAATACCTGTTACCACTAAGAGTTAGTTTAATTTGACTTTAAAAATAAAATAGTCTTCTACAAACAATCTCTGCTGTTGTCAACATCACCATTTAGTTCTGGAAATGAAAAGTCAAATGATAACAAATCTTTCTCTCAGGCCAGTAGGCAGCAGTTTTTGCTAGCAGGTACCCTTTACCACTGTTCTGGGTACAGTGTGAACATCTCTAACGTGGTCCTGCCTAATTTTTTTCCAGGCTCCATTCAGCTCTTTCCAAGGATTAAATGGCCTATATTTTACCTAATATAGTTGGTGCTCGTTTGCAACTCTGGATTTTCAAATGCTTAAATCTTAAAGATGCTTGTGCTCTGTTACTACCTGCTACCAGAAAGAAAACAAACATTGTTTCATCGAATATGATTTTTAATGTGATTAATAGTGATTTAGTTTTCAAAGAAGCAAATAATTACAGACAAGAGAAAAAACATTGCTGAGATGGTACCTGATTTTTTCAGGCCACTGCTAGACTACCAGGAAAGAAATGTATATTCATGGTGTCTTTGTTATAAAAATCAGAGCCATAGGACTAATCAGGAAATAGTGATAATTAATTTTATGACAGAAACAATATGTTTCGAATGACTCTGTCAGTATTTGAATCTTTTGGGGGAAAAATAAATGAAAACTCATGTCTTCTGGAAAGAAATATGGCAAGAAATACCTACATGTGCAACGTGTTGTTGGGAATGTATCTCTCCAAAATTCAAGGTACAAAGGTGATCACATTAAATTTTCAAGTTTTCACTTTCTTCTTGTTTTAAGGAGATAGATTTGTACATCATTCAGGAATTATTAGAAATTTCATTCAGTTTAACAATGAATAACAAATATTCTGTAATATGGGTGCAAAAAATTGTCATTTTCAGCCAAGTTATAAGACATAATTGTCCGTAAAGTGCATTTCAAATAAAAGTACCCATTAGGAGAGTAATTTAAAGTGCAATGTATAAGTTAGAACAATGGAGACATATTCTCACATCCTTAATCCTTAACAGGTATAAGTATTTTGGTCCCTGTGGGTGTGTGTGGGGGTGAGAGAGAGAGAGAGAGAGAGAGAGACAGAGACAGAGACCGAGAGAGGGAGACTGTTTAAATTATGTATATATGCTTGATGGTCACTGCAAATGTCTGAAACTGGTTTCCTAGAATTTAACCTTCAAACACTGACATAATTATACATTCTCCACTTCTATGTGCAATTCCACTCAAAGTAGCATTAGGCTTGTAATAATGGTTGAGCTATTTCAGCTTGCATATCTTGTAAGGCAGGCATTTGACTTTGAATTAAATGTTTAATGAAAATTACAAAAAATACAATCACTATAGTGCTGCCAAGAGCAACCCCTATGAAATAAGGATATGCCTCCTCTTGCTCATATTCATATTCACTTGGTTTTACACTACCAGGGAGGGGGGTAGTACTCGGTGTATAAGGAATTGGTTTTGGAGTTGCTGAATTGAGCATATCCTTGACATTCCTGAATGATCCATTGTGTGGCGTGGTGGTGATATTGAGGAGGTGGCACAGCAGTGGGTACAGATCTGTGGAGTTCATAGCTTCTTTTGTGAAATTCTTTCTGAAGGCAGGACCATGGGCTAAAAATATAGGATGCATTTCTGCTAATGCATTATCATAGCCGTGGTTGCCTACTGTAAAGAGAAAATGCATGAATAAGTTAGCTGACCAGATGACATTTAAATGGAAATAATTTTTGTATGGTCAAGTTCTGAACTTAAATGCAAATTTTACCTAATTTGACTTTAGAAATAATCTTTGACAAACAATCTCTGCTGTTGTCAACATCACCATTCACTCAGGAAATGAAAACTCAAATGATCACAAACCTTTCTCACAGGCTAGCACTACTTAAGCCACAGAGGAAAGGTAAAGAGCAAAGCTAAAGGTAAAGAGCCAATTAAGCCACAGAGGAAAGGTAAAGAGCAAAGCTAAAGGTAAAGAGCCAAGATCGGGAAAAATTAGTGATAATTTTTTTTGGTGGTTGGCAAAGTAATATTCAGCAAATACCGAGTATCTACTATGTGCCAATTATTGTTATAAAGATAAAGGGATAAAGGTGCTCTTAGTCTTATCATGAAAATAATAAACTCATAATTACCAATAAAAGGGGAAATGCTCATAAGAAAAATAAAAGACCACAAAATCAAATCTCTAGCTACAGCTGCAAACCACTACTAAAAAACAAAGATCAAGAACTTGTAGGTACAGTGGAAAATTTTTGACTTTGGTGGTTCAGATAAGGTTCCAACTTAGCATTGTGTGCTTTAATGTGGCTACAAATGAAGCAAAAACTTTAGGGCACTTCTGAAATATGTATCAAATGAAACAAAATTGAAAGATGAAAACTGTATAATAAAAGCTGCATTTTAAAGGCATGTGTGCCTAGCATTATATCAAGGTGCAAGGCAAAGGAGCTACTGCAGATTTGATGGCAACCAAAGGAAACTGACTGGCTTTATTTTAAAAGTGGCAAGGAGAAAGACTAGTAAACTAATCTCTAATAACTATACTTGCTACAGGAAATATGCAATGGGAACACTAACACGGCCACAAAAAAAAATCCTAAATCAATTTCTCTGAATTTCATATACTGACCCCTGGTCATCTCAAAGTAATTTGAAATTTGCCTGGCAAAATTCATCTAAGGAAGTCATTCTAAATGTCACAATTCTTTTGAGTTTATTCAAGTAAAAATGACGCTGGATTTTTGAATCACTAGTAATTATCTGACAGGGTACTGTGCTATTCTACTTAACTAATTGATAGTAACATTGGGAGATGTGCCATTATATAATTTGCAATTGATTGGATGATTGCGGTGTTCATTTCTATGAGAAGTTGGGATCTCAGCTCTCAGTCATGAAGGCAAAGATAATTCTCTCATATCACACTTATTAGAAAATCATATTTTAAATTAAATCATGATGACTTACCTGAAACATTTTTCATGAACAGGGACTTTGTTTTTTAGTAGTAGCCCCTACCATATATGCTTGATCCAGTAGAAATATTTAATAATGGATGTGTAAAGCCAGTGGTCCTCAAACTTTAGTGTGTATGAGGCTCCTGGGGGGCATGTAAAAGATTACCAGGCCCTTCCCTCACAGTTTCTAATTCAGTAAGTATGGGGTGGGCCCAAGATTTTGCATTTCTAATAAGTTCCCAAGTGATCTGGATGTTGCTGGATCAGAGGACACATTTTAAGAACCACTGCTTTTGGACATTAGGGCTTAATTATCTTGTGGAACTCCTGCTGAGTATATTCTGCAGTGGCCAATATTTAGTTATTTGTTGAATAAGTGAACATAGCGTGATATAAATAGGAGCATTATTAAGGTTTTCTATCAAAGATAGAGGTGACCATCTATTGTGTAATTATAGTTTACCAAATTAGAATTTCTAGAACACTCCCTTAAATTTATACTAAGTAAAATACATATCTCCTCAAAGACAGCAGTCTTTTTTTGAGCAATCCCTCTAACAGAAGAGCTACCTGGCCAAAACATGAAAATCTGGACATATAAAAGTAGAAATTATTTTCATGCCTAAGGAAATTATATTTAAAGGTCTTCTTAATTCTTAAAGCAGTTTCCCTGGTGTGATTAAATATTGGTTTACAAATCATTATCTGTACCTAAAAACTGTTTTAAGAACCAGAAACCATGTACATGTACACATCTACTACTATGAGTCACAAATATACTACAAATGTCATTGTTAGGCAACTGCTTGTCTTTTAGTCAATAAACATGATAGGAACCCTAAAGGGACATTTTCGTATATCTCATGTATATCATAGACCATTGTCTAAAAAAAATTTCCAGATGCTTAAGGACTGACACAGTGTGGTTCCTTCAACATTCAAGTAACAGAATAAAAACATCAGTGTACAAATTGCTGCATTATCCATAGCCTCCACTTTAGCAAAAAACCATGAAGAATGAGAAGAAATACTGTAACATACTCACACATAAGGTCATCTGACTTATTCTGTAAAATATACCACCCTTTGTCAGCCACTGCTATGATTGGTGGAATTCGATTGTTGTATTTGTAATGCCATCTTTCCGGAATCTCCTCTTTTTTGTAAACAGTAAGATTAGGATGAGCATGAGTTAGTGCTTCATAGACTTCATCAAATTTACCTAAAGGGAAGGCAGGAGAGGCACTCAGAACAAGACACTCATTACTACAACCAACCAACCACAGGCAACGGATTCCCTATTGAGGTAAAAAGCAAACGAGCTGAACATAATGAAAAACAGCCAAACATGTTAGAACACCATCCCTTTTAGGGAAAGAATCTTGAGGGGAAAACTGAGAAATAACTAAGCTTCTGTCATAAGAAAATTCACCTTATAGAATTAAGAGAGGACATTTTATAGAACCAGAAATCTCCAATCTCTAAAGATTTAAATGCACACTCACATACACATATTAATTAGTGGCACAAAGTAAAATGTCTAGGATACCCAAACAAATACAAAGAGCTAAGTTCTGGTAGTTGTGAGTTGCAGAGACAGAGAATCTGTAGAAAAGAAAATATGGTAAGTGGAAGGTGGGTGCTGGAAAAGACAGACTGGAGGTGGAAAGCAGCTCATAAAATGGAAAGGTCCTCACAACACTGGAGGTTTTGTAAAAGTACTCCCTGTGACTGCAAATGCCGTAAACCTGGGCACTGTCTTCAACCCTTTTCATCTTTTTCAAATCCATGTGTTGGGGTTTTGTCCCTGCCTCCCACACCCCAACAAGAGAAAACCATTCCAATTTATACAGGAAATCGAAGGGTTAATGTGATTTTCTTACACAAGAAGAAAAAACTTGCCGTTGGGTGAAAACTTTGTGTGTAGGCGCACATATGTATTTTAACATTCACTGTCTTATATGATTCTCTTAATTCCCCTGTAAGGGATAGAATTCTCATTTCTATTCTGCCACTTACTTTGTGACCTTGGGATGTTGAACCTTTACCTATCTTTAAATGGAGACTAGGCTGAGATGACAGGTTTGGTCTGAGGATTCCAGGAGGTTTGTAAAAAGTTCAAGATATTGTTTTCCACTTATAAGTAAGGAAAATAAATCTCAGACTTACCTAAGCTCTTTCTTCTTCTTATACTCCACTCCTTCCCTATTAAGCAGGTCCTAATTAAGGGTCTACAGAAGGCTTTAGGACTTCCATGTAATCACTGTTAATTGTATTGAAATTCTATGTGTATCTGTCCATCTTAATTTTCTGAGAAGGGAGGCTGTAGATTTCATCCTATTCTCTGATTCCAAAATGGTTAAAACCTACTGCTATAAATATAGAGAGAGCATCAATATTCTAAAAAAAAGGAAAAAGACTCTGAGAAAAGAGATTTTGTGTTTTCAAGATCTAAGGAATAAAACCCAGAATATTACCATGACACAGGCAAGTATACTTTAAGGGCACAGAAACAGAAATTCTCAATTCACTTCATCACAAGGGGCAAGCAGACCTAGCTTCAGATCAACATTCAGGTCAAATTTACCTTCTTTTGGCAAGATGGCTGCTACTGGAGATAGGTCAATCAGGGTATAGTGGTCTTTATCCAGATATTGGTCAAGTTCTATTATCCTTTCCTTAGAACACTGGGTCATTCCGTGATCACTTGTGATGATCAGGTTCAGAATGTTCCACAACTCAGCCTTTTTCAGCATTTGGATGAGATAGCCTAACTTGTTGTCAATATCTGAAATAACAGGCCCCATGAGTGGGCTGTCAGGTCCCAACTGGTGGCCCATGTCATCAGGATCTTCCCAATAGAGAAGCCCAAGATTTATGGGCTCTTTTGATGTAAACCATTCAATAATTTTGGCAACTCTATCTTCAAATGAAACGGATTCATTGTAAGCCATGTAGTGAGTAGGAAAGCTCTTATGTATTTTCACATCTGCTCCGGGCCACATGGCTGCACCACTAGTATGTCCTGCCCTCTGATTTGTGATCCATATTGGCGTTGCTTCTTCCCAAAACTCAGAATCATAAATATTCATGTGACCCAAGGAGAAAGATTTGTTCAGAATAGGATCAAACATCTCATTTGCAACAATCCCATGATTCTCTGCAAAGAGGCCAGTTACTAAAGTATAATGGTTAGGGTAGGTCTTTGTAATAAAAATATTAGTAACTTGCTTCACGTGAACACCAGATTTCATAACATAATGAAAATGGGGTGTTGGAACTTTATATAAGTAATCCCAACGGAATCCATCAAATGACACTAGTAGAACCTTCTGCTGGTCCGGTTGGAGAGAAAATGTAGTTGAAAGAGTCTGTGCAGCAAGTGTGAAGGACACCAAGAGAAATTTTGAAGTCATTTTCAAAGTATTTGATCAGTGTAAGATAATCTGTAGAATAAGCACATAGAAGTTAATGGCAATAATTTTATTTTGTATACTTTACCCCAAACTGAGAGTAATGGTGGTTAGTAATTACAGTTATATCATAAATCACAGCTGGGAAAAATTATGTGGCAGAATTCCATCTTAGACAAGAGACCTGGAGCTACACGTATAATAAAGCTATGAAGTTTATTTACATTTTTAAAACTTTTTTATTTTCCAAGAATTGATTAAAACATTCCTCAAAGGAATTATTTAGATGAGCTCCCCAACAGCATTTTAAAGTATATAATTTATGTACAACTTGTCAGAAAGATTTTCAGGTTGATTCAGATTTCTGACTTCTGATCAGAAACTCTTATATAGTAAATACCTGTGAACATATTTATCATTATGGCTAGACCAACTATAGGAACCTAACAAAAAGTAAGTATCATTAGAAAATTTGAAAATAGTGTTGGTTTTTTTTTTTTTTTGAAGAAAAGAAATACACATTTTTGGTTTACAAAGCCATCCCCTATATTTGATTGATCATAGTTAGAGGTATTACTAGAGAGAGAGGAAAATAGATGAACTTGGTTTCTTGAAGTAAAATAAAATTCGTGACATTTAAATATATTTGTGAAATGTAATCTGCATTAATTTATTAATGATCAAATCATAGCCTTTTTAAAGCTAAACAATTATATTCTAAACTAAGAATAAACAGCAACATAATTCTGAAATTTGAAGTTGACTTTCATAATGTTTAAATTAGTCAACATTTAATCTTAACAGTCATATGTGTAGAAAAAGCACTTACCAGGATTAAATCTCTTTGCATTAAGGTTGTTGTTGTTTTTTAAATTTGCACATATGTCTAAAAAGCTTTTATTTTATTCAGGAAAGCTAATAAGAAGCAGTATGGACAAACAATACATATGTAAATTTTGTCAATTCTCATCAGGCTTGCAAATCAAGCGAGGATCTTTTGTTCCCCCCTTTTCCTGTCCATTCTTGCATAAAGGTATTTTTAAACCCACCAAAACTTCAATGTAACCATACTTTGTGCAAAAAAATTTCTTGATTTCAGATCTTGACATATTCCTAATTTGAACACGCTGAATACATTTTTAAACCTCAAAATTAGATCCTGTCTTTCCTTGCTACATTATAGGTGTAGGTAAATAAAAACTGCTTGGCATGCTTGCTTTGCTGAAACTGTGTGTAAACTATGCATATTGGCTGAGGGCAATTAAATTTGTTTTATTTGTTTTTTACCTGTGATTTCACCTAGACATTACTTAAACTGAAATTGTTTTGAGTATTGGTTTCAAGACAATAGTTCAAAATCGAAATTTAAAGACGATTTCTTACATGGCAATGATTTTTCCGGTTCTGGAGGGAACATTAAAAATAGTAGCAATAGGGGAAATGCAATTAGGGAACTGAGAATATATTTACTAACCTATCTGGCTGAGGATGGTGGTTCCTCCGTCCTTCTCCCCCCAATTCTCTCTCTTTCCTTCCTACCACAAAGAAGATTAGTAACCACCATATATTATTTGAGGGAGGGAGGGAGAGAGGGAGAGGGAGGGGGAGGGGGAAAGGAAGGGAGAGGGAGGAGAGGGAGAAAAGGGGGGGGGAGAGAGAGAGAGAGAGAGAGAATCTACTACACAGAACACCTCATTTTCATCCGTCCTAGCAAATTAATTCAGCAATTCTGGTAAGCAGGAAAGAATTGCTTTCCTGGGATAAACCAAGATAAGCAAAGATTAAATGCTGTATAAAGCCTAGGAATGTTTGGCAAGAAGAACCAGCATCATTACATCAATGACACAAAGCAATAAACAGAGAGGTGGAGGTGGGGATGAAATAAATCACAAATTTCTTTCTTTTCCATGCACAAAATGCTGTACAAAGCAGTGGAATTCCTAGATCAGGGTCCAGATTTCACTGGGCTGCTTTCCAATTCCTCCTCCGCTCCAATCCTTCCCCCCCCCCCCCCCCCCCCTCCCTCCCCCCCCCCCCCCCCCCCCCCCCCC